TATGTAACAAACCTGCACGTTATGCACATGTACCCTAGAACTTAAAGTATAATAATAAAATAAAATAAAATAAAAAATGAAATAAAATAAAAGAATATCCTTTTACCTGCTTGAGTTTCTTCTTCTTCTCTTTGCTGGAGAGTTTGGCATCTGTTATGACTTCCTCCAACAAGGCTGCCAGAGGTTCCTGAGAGCCGTATGATCTTTGATATTCAAATTCCTCTGGACTAATTTGACGGCAAAATGATGGAGCAGATAAAGTGATATCCATATCAGCTCCTGGGTATTTTATCTGAGGCAAAAGGATTAGGAGTGAAAGAATATAGCGTATTTTCAAATAAATTATAAGAATTAGTTCAGATCAAATGCGGGATACCTCCTTGTACTGTAGCAATGCCATGTTAGTCCTCAAAATTTGATTGGGGGAAACTCTATATTGAAAAGTAAAAGCATTTCCATAACTTCAAAATATTATTGTTTAAAGCCACAGTTTTAAATGGGATTTTTACCTTTGTAAACCCAAGAGCCATTTCAATAACAAAAAAGCTTGTGCCCTTGTTGGGAACAGGCCCCAAAATCTGGCCATAGACTGACCCCAAAACTGGCTATAAACAAAATCTCTGCAGCACTGTGACATACTCGTGATGGCCTTGACGCCCACGCTGGAAGGTTGTCAGTTTACAAGAATGAGGGCAAGGAACACCTGACCCACCAGGGTGGAAAACCGCTTAAGGCATTCTTAAACCATAGACAATAGCATGAGCAATCTGTGCCTTAAAGACATGTTCATGCTGCAGATAACTATCCAGAGTCCATCCCTTTATTTCGGCCCATCCCGTTATTTCCCGTAAGGAATACTTCTAGTAAATTTTTTGACTGGTTTGCTGTCAATAAATATGTGAGTAAATCTCTGTTCAAGGCACTCAGCTCTGAAGGCTGTGAGATTTCCCACTCCACACTCTGATTTCCCACTCCACACTCTATGTTTCTGCGTGTGTCTTTAATTCCTCTAGCGACACTGGGTTAGGGTCTCCATGACCAAGCTAGTCTCGGCATGCCCTCTTTTAACAAGATCTGAAATTCAAGCATAAATTAAACACATTGACTAAAATGATTCAAACATCGATAATGTTGGACATTCACTGGAACTATCCAGGCGCCTTCCCACATCTGAAGAGTCGGATTCTCAATGCCTTGAGGATAGTAGTGGCACGCATTTAGCTAAGCTTTTAGGAAGGGAGGAGTACTACAACCATTTTCTAACATCTTACCTGTGAGAATCAAGTAAAACAACAAATGTGCAGACAGTGCAGAAGGGATAAGGGAGAAGAAATAAGAGGAAAAAAGAAAAAAAAAAGACCTGTGAATAAATGAACATACATTGAAAATATTTAATTTCAGAGTCTGGAGTCTTTTGAAACAGAAGGTTGCAGATGAGGATCATAGAAGGCTTGTGTCAAAAACATTGTCTACCTCATAATGTATCCCAGGGTCAGCCCTGAAACTGTCCTAAAACAATCACTAGAATAATCCAAGCAACACTGCATTTTCAGAGAAGCACTCCCCTAAATGTGATACAGTGTAGAGGCTTAGGAGCCTAATCAAGATAACAATGATGTATAGGTTCTGAGTGCTGAATGGAACAACTGCTTGGCAATTCTAATATGTACTTGCAAGAGAGAAAAGGTAACTGGACAAATTAATCACTATTGATTTCATTCAGAGCACACTGTAGTGTCTCTTCACAAGATCATGTTTACCGGCAGTTAAATTAATCACCATAGCTCAGCCTTCTGAACTTCAATAGTAAAGGGCTCACAAGGCTGTTACTACAATATATGCCTGTGCTATGCATGTGAATACACAAACCTAGCAAGTATATAGGGCGACACAGTTATTGCTTGATATGGTTTGGATGTGTCCTCACCCAAATCTCATCTTGAAATGCAGTTCCCATAATCCCCTTGTTGTGGGAGATGGGAGGTAATTGAATCACAGGGCAGTTATACCCCCATGCTGTTCTTATGATAGTGAGTGAATTCTCATGAGATCTGATGGTTTTATGAGGGGATTTTCTCCCTTTTGCTCGGCACTTCTCTCTCCTGCTGCCTCGTGAAGAAAGATGTGTTTGCTTCCCCTTCCGCCATGATTGTAAGTTTCCTGAGGCCTCCCCAGCCATGCTAAACCGTGAGCCAATTAAATCTCTTTCCTTTACAAATTACCCAGTCTTGGGTATGTCTTAGCAGCATGAGAACAGACTAATACACTGCTATAACATTTCCTTGCGAAACCTGGTGAAGTATTTCTGTTCATTTTTATTTTCTTTAGGTTTGGCTCATAAATATATCAGAGGAAAAAAAATTAAACTAAAACAGCAGTTAAGATTACACTTTTCACCCATGCAAGTGGCAAAGGTATGTACGAGCATTAATAATATCCAGAGTAGGCAAAGGTGCAGAGAAATGAACACTCACTTTCTTATACCACTGACAGAAATGTAAATTTAAATGATCATTCTAAAGGGAAATTTGGCAATATGCTATCAATACTTTAAATATGTTCATGGCCCTTGGCCAAGCAATGCTGTCCCTAGGAATTTATTCTTAGAAAATAATCACAGATCCGCCAAAAAAAAAAAAAAACTACCTTTAAAAATATTTACTGTAACTGCTTCCAAAACGGGGAAAAGCATGGAAACAATCTAAATACCATCCAAAAAGTATCATTTAAATAAATTATGGTATATCCATATTATGGAATACTGTGTGGCCAATAATATTACCATAGAATAAAATAACAATAATGATGATACCAACAACAAAGGCAGCTACTAATTGTAGGTTTACAATGTGATAAACATTATTGTGAGCATTTCACATGTATTAAGCCCACATGTATTAATCATATGTATTAATTCCCCAGAAAAACCCTATGAGGTAAATATTAACTACTATTATTCCCATTTTACAGATGAGAAAGAGAAATGTTGGGACAGACGTTGAAGCAGAGACATGTTATATAATTTGCCTAAGGTCACACAGCTAACAAAAAGCATGTCATGAATTCAAAGTCTCCTGAGTCTGTGCTCTTGGCCACTCTCATGCCAATCAAGAATAATTAATGATGGGGGAATTTATTCTCAATGTTAAGAGAACATAAGTGGCAGGAAGGGAGGCAGGCAGGAAGGGAGGCAGGCAAGAAAGAAGGAGGCAAGGAGGGAAGGAGGGAAGGAAGGAAGGAAGGAAAGGAGGAAGGGAGAAAGGGATGAAGGGAGGGCAGGGGAGGGAGGAGAGAGGAGAGAGGGAAGAGAGTAAGGCAGGCATGGATATAGACAGACACACACAGAAAAAAAAAATGAAAAACTGTAATACTGACTATGAACATTTTAGTGTAACACTGATACCGTTTGGTGTGGTTTTTTCTATATTTCCCATGTTTCTTCAATGTGTTAGGTTGATCATTGCAAAAAAATAAGAAAAAAATTTAATTTTAAAATTGCCTTCTAGAAAGAGCTGCACAGTTAATTATTTTTGTAATACCTCAGAAGGACGCAGTTCACTGGTCCTTAATTGTGGTGCCTCAAAAAGATCTCAAATGAGAAGAGGTCCAATCAGTCAGAAGGAGTCAAGTGGACCTTCTGCCTGCCTTTACCGAGTTTCTGCTCCCATAGACTGACATAAAAACCCCACTTTGGGGTCCACAGGATAATATATATTATAACTGGGAGGCGTGCCCAAGATGGCTGAATAGGCACAGCTCCAGCCTCCAGCTCCTAGCATGAGCGACACAGAAGATGGGTGATTTCTGCATTTTCAACTGAGGTAGCAGGTTCATCTCAGTGTGGCGTGTTGGACACTTGGCACTGGACCATGGGCGCAGCCCGACCATCAAGAGCTGAAGCAGGGCGAGGCATCGCCTCCTCTGGGAAGCACAAGGGGGAAGGGAATTCCTTTTCCTAGCCAAAGGAAATTGAGACACACAACACCTGGAAAATCGGGTAACTCCCACCCTAATACTGCGCTTTACCAAGGGTCTTAGCAAAAGGCACACCAGGAGATTATATCCCACACCTGGCCCAGAGGGTCCCACGCCCACAGAGCCTCCCTCATTGCTAGCACAGCAGTCTGAGATCTAACTGCAAGGCAGCAGTGAGGCT